TAATGGCCAATATTTATTGACAGTGTTTACTATGTGTCAAGCACTGTTTTAAGCACTTTTGTTACATACAATCCTACAGTATCAGAGCTAACCTTATTTTGCAGATAGACTAATGAGGCACAGAGTAGGAAACTGATCTGCTAAAGCCACATGCTTAGCAGGTAAGGGACCTGGGGTATGGATATTTAAATCAGGCATCTTGACTAACTCCAAAACCCATGTTTGTTTGATCTGTTGAATGAGTAAGCCTATAGAATTAGCAGGTTCCTTTCAACTCTAAAATTGTATGATGTTTCCAAGTACAAAATGTATACATAATCAATGAAAGAGTTTCTTGGTACAAAATGCTAAGTTGAGAAGTGGAGGCCTATGGGATTGTTTGCTTGAAACGTAGACAGAATAATTTTAAATTTAGTTGTCTACAAATTGGCTAATACTCTAGCTATAATTGGTTAAAAAAAAATCTGGTTGTATTGGTTCCTTTTTGTTATTTTGTTTTTGTTCTTTTTTTTTGAGACGGAGTTTCACTCTGTCACCAGGCTGGAGTGCAGTGGCATGATCTCAGCTCACTGCAACCTTCAGCTCCCAGGTTCAGGAGATTCCCGTGCCTCAGCCTCCCAGGTAGCTGGGACTACAGGTGCATGCCACCATGCCCATCTAATTTTTGTAATTTTAGTACAGATGGGGTTTGACCATGTTGTCCAGTATGGTCTCCATCTCTCGACCTCGTGATCCACCCACCTCAGCCTCCCAAAGTGCGGGGATTACAGGCGTGATCCACTGCACTGAGTCCATTGGTTCTTATTTCCAGTGCTTCCCCAGTGCCCCAACTATTTTCTGTGAAATGGGAATAATGACAATTCAGTAAGGTTGAATTCATCAACACTGGCAACTTTCATTGGAGTTGAAAGTTGCTGTATAAATGCTAAGTATTCTTGCTTTGAATTAGTTATTGTTATCAGGTACCCTGATTCATTGTTACAGAAACTTAATTTTGGTTGTATCATCTCTTCTGATGCAGTCCTTAAAACAGTATCTCAGATATTAAGTTATGCTATCGCCAAACCGCTCATAAGCTAGGATGATCTCAGATTTTTCTGCCGGCATGTCGTCCCCTCCTACTTCTTTCTGAAATAGAAAGTGAAGATGGAAAAGGAAAGCACTCTCTGCCACCTCGGATCCTGCTTTTTGTTGCAGTGACTGGAAGCAAGTAGGTGGGGGCAGGGAATATAAAAAGCATCCCCAAGACTCAGATTGTGATTTAGCTCATTTTGAGGGCATCATTTCACCCAACCCTAGACAGTGCATCTTGTTCAGGTCTCAAGAAGCCTGGGTGGAGGTGGAAATGTTGCTTTGAGTGAGGAGACCAGGATTGTAGCACAGAGGCCCCCACCAACTAGTTGTCTAATCCTTAACAAGTTGCTTTGTCTTTCTGGGCTCATTTTTCTCATCTGTCAAGTCAAATGAAGGTTACGGAATAGATGATCTCTAAAAATCCTTCCAGTGCTACAGTTCTATTCTGGGTCTGTCTGCACCTGCAGACAGTGATGTGGGGGCAGGAAGGGCACTGGGGAGGGCGGCAAATTTAGTCAAGAGAATAAAACACTTTCACCTGGAGCAGCCTGTGTCCTTGTGTGCGTTGTGCAGTACAGGCTTGTCTCATATTATCCAAATAATTGACTGAGTTCTCTTCTTTCTTTGCCAGTGAGCAAACAGCTTTAGTTTTTTCTGGGACTAGCAGCTGCTTTTCTGAAATTTCCATCCCAGGGCTTCCGTCCTCCACTGTGTCCTCTCAGAAACCTGTCATGGTTTTTCTGGATGGATGCCCACAGAATTTTAATCCAGACACACATACACACACACACACACACACACACAGAAAAAAAAGAAATGAGTAATAAAGGAAGGAAGGAAGGAAGTAGAAAAAAAAGAAAAAGATATCGTGTATAACAATAAGCAAAACCAGGTCACGAGCTGATTTTCTTTTTTAATTTGGTTACTTCATTTATGCTGCCAACCTGAAGCCATGACTAAAGCCAGTGAGTTCTCTTAATTATTGGGTTTGTCTATGATGATGCAGAGATGAGGCCTACATGCTTTAGGGGCTACCTGGGTCCTGGCACCTCCAGACTCTTGGTAAATGTCTGAATAATTAAATCAGTTGTTTCCCCCAGAATATCCCATTTTCTTTTCTTTTCTTTTCTTTCTTTCTCTTTTTTTTTTTTTTTTTTTTTTTGAGATGGAGTCTCTCTCTGTCCCTCAGGCTGGGTGCAATGGTGCTATGTCAGCTCACTGTAACCTCTGCCTTCAGGGTTCAAGTGATTCTCCTGCTTCAGGCTCCTGAGTAGCTGGGATTACAGGTGCGCACCACCATGTTTGGCTAATTTTTATATTTTTAGTAGAGACAGGATTTCGCCATGTTGGCCAGGATGGTCTCCATCTCTTGACCTCATGCTTCGTCCGTGTCAGCCTCCCAAAGTGCTGGGATTACAGTCATGAGCCACCAGCCCGTGCCCAGCCAAAATATTCCATTTTCTACCTTTCCTCAATAAGCATTTGCATTTCCAGTAAGGAGAGAGGGTTGGAAGTCCCTGCCCTTAGAAAGCATAGTGGAGTCGCCCAAGTTTAAAAGGTGAAAACTTAATTTGTGAAAGATCCTTTGTTGAGCCAGCTAGAAATGCAAATTCCTGGACACTGCTCTCAGCCAATCATTCAGTAAGTTTCAAACCCAGGAAATGAATTTTTACTCACCCCTGATCAGCTAGTAGAAGAGTGATGAACTCCTAAGAAATGCTCATGGCCAGAAATAAATACATTATCAGAATAAGGATTTCATGATTCCATTTCTACTTCATGTTGTTTAGATAAAATTCATGAAAATTGATGCCTAATAATCAGGATTCCTGGCATTAACATGTAGGTCATTGCTCTGTGTCTTTTTGATACGCACTGTGACAATCACCTGAAGATTTGGAAAATTCAAAGCAAGTATGGGTTTGAAACTAAAAACGGGGCAGAGTCTTGTGGGGTGGCAAAGAAGAGCATGAATAGCTTTAAAGTCAAGCAGAAGTGAATTCAAATTCTGCACATATCAGTGTGTGTCACAGGCAAGTTATTGAACCTCTGTGAGTCTCCATTCTTTCACCTATGAAACTGGAATATTACTGCTTCTCTGAAGGAGGAGTTAAGATTAAATGAGTTTATGCATCCGATAAGTGAATGCTTCATAAATACTTCTGGACGCGGCGGCTCACGTCTGTGCTCCCAGCTACTCAGGAGGCTGAGGTAGGAGGATCGCTTGAGCCCGGGAATTCGAGGCTACAGTGAGCTATGATGGTGCCATTGCGTTCCAGCCTGGGCGATAGAGCGAGAGCCTGTCTCAAAAATAAGCAGGTTTAATAAATAAAAAAACAAATAAATAGTTCCTACTTACAACAAAATATGCCACAAGATGGGAGAGGGCAGGGATTTCCGAGGCCCAACTTAAAATTTGCATTTGGGATTTGGCTGCAGTTCGGGCGTTCCCTGTGGTGCCCAGTGAATGCGGCTTCGGACCTCCCAGCGCCGCCATTGCCCACAGGGCGTGTCATTTCTAAGGGCAGCAGTTTGCTCCCTGGCTGTCCGGCCCCGCCCTCCAGCTCCCCCATGTACCTAAAAGAAAATGTAATGGTTGGGCCATTTTTATTTCTAAAAAGACTTCCTTCCAGGCCTTTGACCTGGCGCCGCAGGTGTCCCCGTGGGTTTCCCAGGCCGCCGCGGCCTTCACCGACAGGAGGAGGCCGTGGAGAGGGGTGCGGCCGGGAATCCAAAGCCAACCGGAGGTGGTCCCATTTGGGCTGAGGCTGCGGTTTGGGACTTCCGCCGCCCGTAGGGCTCCTAAAGGGCGGAGGGGTGCCTCGAATCCCCCTGCGCACCCGACCCGGCGCGTCCAAGGGTCCGACCCCCCAACCCCGCCGGGGTGGGTGGCAAGGAAGGGCCAGTGTGACGGGGGTTTCGGTCGCACCCCCACCCTGCCCAAGGAGGCCCCAGGAAGTCCCTGGGGCCGAGCTCTGCAGGGAAACAAAGGCCCCATCCGCTGCCGGGACCCCCATCCGGAGTACCCGAATTCCAGGGACCTGCACCTGTGACGCGGTAGTGGGAGTCAAGGCTCGAAGGCAGCACCCCCGACGGCTTGGCCGCGTGTAAGCAAAGCCCTCGGTACTTCGGGGCGCCAGTCTGGGCTTTTGAGCGTTACGGGAGGTAGCCGGAGAGTTCACCGAATTTTAATGCAATCCCACTCTACATCTTCAGAGCAGAGTGTCCGCAAAGACCCTTACCCCTCTTACCCCACTCTGCTCCCACCCGCCCCACGGACCCGCCGGAGCGGAGCGGGCAATCAAAGGCACTTTCCCCTGGCGCCCAGTCGGCGTCGGGCTTCGAGGGCAGCGTGCGCATCGAAGCCCAGCTGAGGGGCTATCCGCCCGCTGGGGACCCCGGAAACTCGCCGCCCTGCGGAGAGCAGCTCGGGACAGTTCCCCGCTCCGCCCAATCAACTAAAGTAGAAGCCCGAGATCTGCCGGCAGGGCCGGAGATGCCCTCCGGAGCCGGACCAAACCTGGGCTGCAGGGGTGGCTGGGGGGAGAGCGCGAAAGAGCCTACTCAGGGAGCCCCCTCCCAGCTCTGGACGGTGGAGGGGTCCCGCGGGGTGGCGTCGGAGGCCGGGGAGGTGGCGGCGGGGCGGGCGGTGCCCGCGTCGCTGCGAGCAAGAGCCCTTCGGGGCCCGCCACACACGCTCACCCCTCCCCCTCCCGGCCTGCCTCCCACCCGCTCGCCGCGCCCCCCCCCCCCCCCCCCCCCTCCCCCCCCCCCCCCCCCTCCCCCCCCCCCGCCTCCGCCCCATTCTTGGAATTGTGTGGAAAAATTCTCAGCCAAACCTCCCACCTCTCCTCTCCCCCCACCCACCCCCTTTAAAAAACCCCTTTCCTCCCCGGCCCCTGCACTCTTTGTGAATGAGGGCAGGGAACACGGCCCTTCCCCCGCCCAGGAGCCACGCCAGACCGCCGCACTCAGAGGACTGTTTGTTAATAGTCCAATTAGATAATTGCCATCTTTCACTCCTTTTGCTCCGCATTTCCCATAAAGGAATGAATGGGGAGAGCGGCATGGAGAGGGCTTCTGCCCCGGCAAGGTGACGAGAAGGGCTGGAGCATGCTCCTTGCACAAGGCCATGCGCTTGAATTGAATCATTGTAGCCTAATCAATGCTCTTATTGGATTACTGGCTGTTGCTTTTCTCAAAGATATTGTAGCAGAGACAATGAAATAGCTAGGGGAAAACTTTTTTTTTTTTTTTAAGCAGATCTCACAGTTGAGATTTCTCGGCCGTCTCTCCCTCTCCCCCTCTCTCTCCTGCTGGACTCTCTGAGTACAAAGCTGCCCTTTGAATGGGCTGCCTCAGGGCTGCTGGAGGTGCAGGCATGAAAAAATCCAACTGGAACTAAATGAAGAGAGGTGGCAGTTTAAGATGGCTGTCTGCGTGGAGGTGTGTTAAGGAGGAGTTGTTTGGGGGAAAAGCTTGGCTTTTTTAGAGTGCGGGGGAGATACTTTTCGGGAAAACTTTATCTCCCCCCCTCTTTCTTCCCCACCCCCCAGGCAACTGCTTTCTTCTGCTGCGGGTGTGTAAGGGTGTTTTTTTTTCTCTTCCCCTCCCACCCCTCATTCAGTTCTATCTGGCGAGTGTGGAGAAAACCCCTCTAGCCAGTATGTGAGCAGGAGGGTCAAAGGCAAAAGGAAAGTTAATAATGCCTGCTAATGGTACTAACAATTCAGGATGAATCTTGTCAAAAGTTTTTCTGGAAGTGTGGGTCTTTGATTGTGTGTTTCCTCAAAGCAAGACCAATCATTTCCGTTTATTCACTGGCTAAACCCCTACTTGATTGGGGACAAGGACAGAAACCATCCATTACGATCTGATATATTATCCAAACAATTTAGTGTATTCATGAGGTAACCGAAACGTGGGGGCTGCGAAATTACCCGTAATCAATTGCAACAGCGAGTGTGCGTCCCCCCGGGTGTAGGACAACTACAACTCGCCGTCTCAGAACAGGCGGGAGCCGCAGCATTTCGGAGTTGCGCTGTTCGCTACCTGATCGCCAGGCTGGGGACACTGGACGTGCTCAGAGGACGCGGGTGCTGACGAGGCGGCCTCGCCGCAGCTCTACCGGGATCCTGGACCAGACTGGCCGCCTCTCCGCGAGCGCGCCACTCTCCCGTCGCCGCTGACCCGCGCGCCGCCGCCGAAGCCGCCCCGCGGGGACATTCATTCTTGCCGCTTGCCGGTCGCCGGGCTGGGCATACGGGCCGCGTTGTCGGGGGTTTTGTCCCCTTTTTCCTCTTTTTTTTTTCTCCTTTTTTTTTTTTTTGTTTTTTTTTTTTTTTTTATTCTTTTTGTTGTTGTTCTTGCCTATGTTCGGGAAACCAGACAAAATGGACGTTCGATGCCACTCGGACGCCGAGGCTGCCCGGGTCTCGAAGAACGCGCACAAGGAGAGTCGGGAGAGCAAGGGCGCGGAGGGTAACCTCCCAGCCGCCTTCCTCAAGGAGCCGCAGGGCGCCTTCTCTGCGTCCGGCGCTGCTGAGGATTGTAACAAAAGTAAATCCAATTCCGCAGCCGACCCGGATTACTGCCGCCGGATCCTGGTCCGAGGTAGGGATGGGCAGGGCTGGCGGGCGTGTTCTTTGGGGTCGACTCCCGGGCCCGAGCTGCGCGCTGCCGCCGACTCAGGCCGGTGGGGAGGAGTGCCGGCTGGGACTTGGGAGAAAGTTGTTGGCCCTCCCCGCCCCGGTCCGGCTGGGGAGAGGCGCTTGGGACTCCCCGGTGCGCTCTTCAGGGGCCTCGGCCCTCCACACCCTGAGGGGCCCCGCGGACCCGGCTCCTGGGGGAGACGAGGGGCTGCGCGGGTGCAGCTGGGCATCGGACTGCGGCCTCTGACCAAGGGAAAGGAGCAGAAAACTCCGGGAGGAGATGTGCGCGCTCCATGGGCAGGAGGATCTGCCGGGAGCTGGCCAGGGGACTCCCGCGCTCTGGAGGGCTGAGCACACCCAAGCGGGAGCGCGAGTCCCGGAGAACAGCTGCCGATCGCCGGCTACGGCCCTGCCAGTTAGCGCACTGGGCCGAGGGCCCCAGCGACGCGATAGGTGCCCGACCGCTGCCACCAGGAGAGGCAGCTGGGCTGGGTTGCGGAGCCGCCGTTGCTGCTTTGGTACTCGGCTCCGCAGCTCTCGGATGCGCGGCGTGCGCTTAGCTCGGGCGGCTGAGGTTGCGGGGCCCGGCCGCGGCCCAGCGCCGCCCCAGCAGGCAGATCGCCGGGCCCCGCCGGCCCCGACTCAGTCCCTCCTCCTTCCGCCACGCGGACTCCGGAGGGAAGGAGACCCGGGGGTGGGGGTGGGGGTGGGGACGGCTGGAGCACAGTCAACATGCCCAGAGCTAGGGCCCGCAGAACCCGGGCGGGGCGGCGAGGGTACCCTCAGGCTACAGGGGACCGGGACAGCGCAGCCGAGGCCCCCCAGGCCTGAAGGAACGTCAGCCTATTTGGAATTGATTGGATTTTTTTTCTTTCCCCTGTTTGAAGAGCTCTACAAAAAGACAGTGTGGTCCCTCCTTCCGCCAGCGGTATGCAGTTAGTCCCCTTGCCCTCTACACAGTGTCTTTGCTACCCGGCTGTGGTCGCGCTCCGCTCCCCCCATCCCCAAAACTGCACGCTTTTGGGGACTCTGTCCCCAAAGCCAGCTCGGACCAAGGAGGTGGAGGGAGACGGGTGGGTTCTGGCGGCTGACATCTCCCTTCCCCAGATGCCAAGGGGTCCATCCGAGAGATCATCCTGCCCAAGGGCCTGGACCTGGATCGGCCTAAGAGGACGCGCACGTCCTTCACCGCGGAGCAGCTCTATCGGCTGGAGATGGAGTTCCAGCGCTGCCAGTACGTGGTGGGCCGCGAGAGGACCGAGCTCGCCCGGCAGCTCAACCTCTCCGAGACCCAGGTACCCCGCGGCCAGGCCGCACACAGTTCTGCACCAGCCTACCTCCCCACCACCCCTGCCCAGCCTGCTCTTCACCACCTAACCTGCTCTGGACAGAGCTACCCTTGGGAGGTGGAGGAGATGGGAAGGATGGGTAAGAAAGGCTTACTTCCCCTAAATAATACATCCCTTCCCCCCACCCTACCTGCCATCCCCAAATCTTCCAGGGCCCATGTTTTATCCACTTTGGCGTAGGCCCAGGAGGCCCCAAATCCTGTCCTTTTGGAATTCTTATTGGCCTCTGGTTTTGAACATTTCTTTCTTGCTTCTGCTCTACAAAGAACTGACTTTTGCCCTTGTTTGGGGTACCCCATTTTGGCTAGATTTCTAGGCCCCACCCCTTGTGGGCCCACCCAGCTGTACACAGCATCCAGGCCCATTCTGCAGGAGTGGGATTAGGGCTAACTCCTCCTGCTCCAGCACCATGGGTGACTCCTAGGACTTAGAAAGGTGTATGCTCTCCTGGAGACATGCCTCTGCAGATCAGGCTGCCCAGACCATTAAAGGAAGGCTTTCCCCGTCCTGAGCTGGCCCCAGCCCTGAGCACCTAGGAAACCCTGTCTTCTGTACCAATGATGTGTGAGGTATCTGATGGGAAGCAGATCTAGGACCAGAAGCCAGTACTGTTGATTATGCTTTAGATCTTTCCCTTTACATTAAATCTATGCTGCCTCAGGAGCTGGCCATGTGGGCTCTGTGCCCAGGAGAGGGCCCAAGAACTTACCAAGTGCCATGCCACCAGCTTGGCCTAGCTAAGGCAGCCTTCTTTCTGAAGATCAATCCCTTTCCCCATGCCCAACCCTGAAGCAGGTGGAAAACATTCTAGGTCTGGGATCTGGGCCGAAAGCTGAGGACTGATAGAACAGATGGGGTGTTCTTTTTGAGTCTGAGTTGGTGTGGTAGCTTTTTGTATTCTCTCTGCTACTGCCCCTCTTAGTTTATAAAATCTGGACGGGAGAGTCTTTCCCTATCGCTACAAAACTCTTCCGGGCCACTGCTAGGCCTGAAGAGAGGCAGAAGAGCAAGAGGGGAGGTTAGTGGGGAGTATTTAGTCCACCTTAGCCTCCTGACTTTCTCCCATGATTCCAAGTTCATGACCCAGAGCAGTGGAGTGGTAAATTAAGAGTATCACTCAGACCCTTCAATGCAGCTATCTGTTGAGAGGAGGTGCAGAGAGCTCGGTCTATATAAAGTCTCCCGCACACATTATTCTCCTGCAGCCACTTTCCCTGCTCGCTGCTAGTTGATGATTATGTCTTAAGCAGGAAATGGTCCTTTGTAGCCTTCACCAGGAGTAGTGCTTCTAGGACTAAATCCGAGCCCACTGGGCCAGGGACCTGGGTCCAGAAAGCCTGGGCAACACTCCCTTCCCGCCTCTCTTCCCACTTCCCTCTTCCTTCTGCTCTCTTCCTTCACCACACCCATCGGGCCTCACACCCTCCACCGAAATTCCGGCTTTGGGGCCGCACTGATTTACAGATCTGTGAGCCCCAAACCCGGCTGCGGAGTAGCGCGGGAGCTCAGTGAAACTCTTTCCGGTCTTCCTTAGAGTTCCTGCCGTGGGTATTTTATTACTTTGTTCTGTGTTAGCGGCGCCTGCCTGCGCCTGCTTTCCTGACCCGGAAGCGCAGCCCAGTGGAACAGCTGTGTCCCCCTCGTGGCGGCGCCAGTTCCCCCAGCAGCGCCGGTGCCTTGATCCCGCAGGTTGTTAGGTGGGGCTGCGGGTAGGGCTGGGGCGTGGGGAGGGCCCCGGAGCTGCGCGCCCCGGGAGCTCGCTTCGGTTGACGCTGGTCTTCCCTGCCCCTCTCTCCCACTCTCCCCGCGCCCCGCCGCGCAGGTGAAGGTCTGGTTCCAGAACCGGCGCACCAAGCAGAAGAAGGACCAGGGCAAGGACTCGGAGCTACGCTCGGTGGTGTCGGAGACAGCGGCCACGTGCAGCGTGCTACGGCTGCTGGAGCAGGGCCGTCTGCTGTCGCCGCCCGGCCTGCCCACGCTGCTGCCGCCTTGCGCCACGGGCGCTCTCGGCTCCGCGCTGCGCGGGCCCAGCCTACCTGCCCTGGGCGCGGGCGCCGCCGCCGGCTCGGCAGCCGCCGCCGCCGCCGCCGCCGCCCCGGGCCCAGCGGGCGCCGCGTCCCCGCACCCGCCGGCTGTGGGCGGCGCTCCAGGCCCTGGGCCCGCCGGGCCGGGGGCACTGCACGCAGGCGCCCCGGCCGCGGGCCACAGCATCTTCAGCCTGCCGGTGCCCTCGCTGCTCGGCTCCGTCGCCAGCCGCCTGTCTTCTGCCCCGTTGACAATGGCTGGTTCGCTAGCTGGGAATTTGCAAGAACTCTCCGCCCGATATCTGAGCTCCTCGGCCTTCGAGCCTTACTCCCGGACCAACAATAAAGAAGGGGCCGAGAAAAAAGCGCTGGACTGATTTTAAGTGTTTCCCTGTATTTATATTTATAGTATCTATTGTGGTGATATTTATGGACTCACTCGCGTTAGGTGCCCAGAGCTCCTGCACTGGGCTCCTGGCTCCCACCAGGCCTCAGACAGCTCTCCTTTCCCACCCAGCTCTGCTACCAATTCCATCTCATTTGGGCTATTTTTTTTCTACCTTTCCTCCATGATTCCTCTCCAACCCCCAACTTCCTTCTGAATCCAGGAGAAATCCAAAGAATTGGGGAAAATGCCCGAGTCAGTCAACCTGATGCCCCGACCCGTGCCCAGCCTAGGAAAGAAAATACTGGTTCTAAGTCCAAAGCACAGGACACTTGCTCTAGATTGGCGGTTGCTGCCGCTGCCGACTATTCCTAGGAATATTTGAAAAATGAAAACTGCGCGCAGATCCCAGGGGCTTGTAGGGTTCTTTAGACCAAAAAAGGAGTACGTTCCTTCCTCTTGCCAGAGAAACCAGGGCTTGTGGGAGCTCCTGAGCCCCGCTTTGCGGACCTCTCGATATAGTCGGTACACATGCAGCTTCCTGGCGGGACAAATCCTGCCGGTTTTCTTCCCTAAAGGGCAATTCCAATCACAACAACCCCCGACCCCAGGAAACAGTAACAAACGTCCTGGTGGGCAACGACACTAATAAATTTGATTTAATCAGCAATAAAGGCAATTGCTACGTAAAACCAGGTGAAGTGGAACCAGTTTTTAAATGCTCGTAATGATGAAGTTTGGAAGGTGTAAGAAAATTCAGGATAGCGAATGCCCCTCAGGGCAATGCAAAATTAGGGTTCTGAGAGTTGTAACTTTAAACAGGAATTTAATGGGGGAAAAGCAAAGGAAAAGCCAACGTCGCTAATGAAAGAAAATTCAGAATCTTTTCTCCGAGCCTGTTGGGGCGGTGGCCGACAGCTTCCCACTCCTTCAGGAAAGAGCAAAGCAGTTCCGGGCGGTAGCTTGGGCGCCCGCGCTTCACCATACGGCCTCCCAGGCTCATAGCTTCAGGCACAATCGCTCGGTTTGGAAAACGAGTCAGCATTCATTGTCTCCTGTCTCAAACTCCAGGATTCACAAAACTCTTCCTGCACACAGGAAACGCTTGGATTTCTGAGCAGTTCTCTGCGGAAGGGGAGGCAGGGACGCCACTGGGCTGTCGGGCCTTCCCTAGCAGTAGTCTCGGAATCCGGATAGCGTCTCCTGTGATTGATAGGAAAGACACTCCCTTCGCCTCTCCAGTCTTAGGGTTTCAGTGGTCCCAAGTCAGAACCCGGACCG